AAACCAAAAGTAAGATGCCGGCCTCACGCTGGTTCACGGTAGCAACCCGCTCCATCTTTTACCAAGTTCCTCAGGGGGCACTCTGTTCCCGTTACCGATGGGGCCCTGAACCCCGTTACCGATGGGGGCCTGGAACGTCTTCACAGGATCCCCTGTGGTCACGGTCCCGTGGCGTGTCCGCCTGACCATAATTGACCACTTCCAAGTACGAATTTGTCCCGAGACCAAGAATAGAAATAGACAGATATAGACCAGACACATAGAGACAAATAGGTTCTTACCGGTGGGTTGACCCTTGGGTTCGGGGGTCCTGAGAGTCTTGGGGGGGATCCCGAGTGTTCCCGGCCAACGCACCAAATGTTATGCCTGAATTGCGAGTCCCCTGAGACCTCCAAGGAGCCGACACTGATGCAAGTACATAAGGGTCTTTATTACAAGCTTGAGCAGGGGCTCACCAGTCAACTGGTGCAGCGGCAGTAGGGTGAAGCCCCGAACAATAGCGAGCAGGGTTTTTATAGGGTAAAGGACGGGGGTGTTACAGTGCACACGTTGTATGCATAGCATCATCACATAAGTACCAATCATAATTGTACAACACCCATGACAACAGTTTTGACCATTCAGTATCTGTGAGATTTTTGTTACTTTTGGCAGGACCCAATCATGACCTTTGAGACTCCTTTGAAAACGACCAATTATGAGGTGAGTTTAAAGGGCCCGCGTGGGGTTCAGGCAAGTGGTTGAGTGATTGGCTAATTTGTACAAAGTAGTTATATATAGTCCCCAGACCCTGACTCAGACCACAGGTATATTTCTTCTTTCTTTCTTAGCTTCTTTTGATTGGCTGACCTGAGAGTGTTCTGAGGGTGGCTTCAGCTGAAGTTTTTCCTGGAACTGGGCTACATGCAGCCCGACCGTTGCTCTTAATGGGGGCCTTAATCTCAAAATGGTGTTACTTAGGTTCTTCAAGCTCAGGTAGTGATCTTATGGTTCATGAGTTGGAAAGTTGGATCCCACTGTCAGGCTTCCTGCCGTCAGGGCAGAGCCGGCTTCAGGTTCTTTTTCCCCCATCTCTACGCCCCTCCCCCACTCACTCTCCAGCATGCAGCACTCTCTCTCTGTCAAAAATAAAATAAATATTAAAAAATACGCAAACATAGAAGCTAAAGGTAAGACAAAGATTAAACATATTTTAAAATATTTGCTTATCATGATGACTTCATGCTATTATGAGTTCATATATCAGATCAAAGTACTCTTTTTTCCTTTTTTTTATGTTTCAAGTTTTTATTTAAATTCTAGTTAGTTAACATATAGTGTAATAATAGCCCACTCTCCACTCATGTCCCTTCCAGCAACATTCATTTTGTTCTCTAGCTTTTAAGAGTCTCTTATGGCTTGCCTCCTTCTCTCTCTCTCTCTCTTTTCAGAAAGAAAAAGGCAGGGTTTGTTGTACTGATAGTGGGTCCAAGTTCATATTTTGGACTTAATTTTTTTGTTTTGGTTTTCACAACTAGATCATTGTGTTTACTTATTAATGTTGTTGACAGAGTTCATAACTCTGTTATTTTCTTTTTGTTTACTTGTTTTTGCACTACTATTAGCTTCAATAAGCAATTTCTTTGTGAAAACCCTTCTAAGCCACTAATCTGCTTCATGAAGATTAGTTTAGTTAAAACTAATTGATGATAAATTCCACAAGCCACACACATACAAAGTACAGTCTGTAGCAATTTGTGGAAAAGTTCCTTTATTTTCTACTTTGCAAGGTAGAACTCTTGCTTTCTCTTTAAGATAGCTTATTTACTTTTCAGCATACAGGTATTTTACATCTTTGGTTAGGTTTGCTCCTAAGTATTTTATGGTTCTTGGTGCAATTGTAAATGGGATCTATTTCTTTATTTCTCTTTCTACTGCTTCATTATTGATGTATAGAAATGCAACTGATTTTTATACGTTGATTTTATATGCTGCAACTTTGCTGAATTCACATTCTAGCAGCTTTTTGGCAGAGTCTTTCAGGTTTTCCTTATAGACTATCATGTCATCTGCAAAAAGTGAAAGTTTGACTTCTTTTTGCCAATTTGGTTGCCTTTTATTTCATTTTGTTTTCTGATTGCTGAGGCTAGGATGTCCAACACTATGTTTAAAACGATGGAGAGAGAGTGGACATCCCTGTTGTGTTCAGTATCATTAAAATCTACACTGAAGCAAGTGGAGAACTGTAAATACACCCCATGGCTGTAAATATGCATTGAATACTAAGTTCTGCTTGTTTCTTCTGCTTCCAATATGCCAATATCCTGCAAACCCTTCTTTTCCTTTTTTATTTTCTTCTAATTTGTTTCTTCTAATTTGTTTCTAACCATTCACATGGGTAAATTCCTATCTTTCCATGTTTTAGTCTTTACATACATTTTCTATACCACTTTGTCCCCTGAAGTGCTCTCTCATGTTACTTTTTTAAAAAGGTGTGGGGGTCCCTGGGTGGCTCAGTAGGTTAAACATCCGACTTTGGCTCAGGTCATGTTCTCGTAGTTCGTGGGTTCAAGCCCCACGCTGGGCTCTGTGCTGACAGCCAGCTCAGAGCCTGGAGCCTGTTTCAGATTGTTTTCCTCTCTCTCTGACCTTCCCCTGCTCACGCTCGCTCTCTCTCTCTCAGAAATAAATAAAACATTTAAAAAAAGGTGTGAACCTCTTTCATTAGATGTATCAAAATAGAGTTTTCTTCAAAGTACAGGAATACAGGGGCACCTGTATTCAACTACTGAAAAACAAGTGTTGAAATCTTCAACTATAATTGTGGTCTTGACTCTTTCTCCTTTTAGATCTGTTGCTTTTGTTTTATATTATTTAAAGCTCTATGCATATACATTTCAGAGTTTAATGTTTTAATGAGCTGAATCGTCCATTATTATGGAGAGGTCTCTCTTATGAAACTCTTGTCAATATTCTTTTCATTACTGTTTGCACAGTATATTTTTCCATTATGCTACCTTTACCCTACATTTTAAAGGAGTTTTCATGTAAACAGCTTATGGTTGGGCCTTGGTTTTTTGCCAAAGCTGACAATCTGTTTTGTGGACTTTTCTTCATAAAGGTTTTATTTTTTTTATATTTTATTTTAGAAAAAGAGAGAACATGAGTGGGGGAAAGGCACAGAGGGAGAGAGAGAATCTTAATCAAGCTCCATGTCAGTGTGGAGCCCGACATGGGACTTGATCCCATGACTCTAGGATCATGACCTGAGCCAAAATCAAGAGTGTCAACCGACTGAGCTACCCAGGCACCCGTAAGATTTTATTTTTAAATAATCTCTACACCCAATGTAGGCCTCAAACTCACACCCCAAAGGTTGAGTCGTATGCTCCACCAACTGAGGCAGTCAGGTGCCCCTAACAACCTGTGTTTTAATTGGGAAGTTTTAGAGTTTCAAGTTTAGACCACTTATACTTAACGTAATTATTTATATGATTATATTTAAATCTACCATCTTGCTATTTTTATTTTTCCCCTTGTTCTTTGTTCCTTCTTAAACACTTTTCTTATCTCTTGTAGTTTTTTTTATTATTTCATTTAACCAATTCTATTTACTACTATCAGCTTATAAGGAATTCTTATCTCATGTATTTAGTGATTTCTCAAGTTTATGTTTATAAAGAAGAAATTTACCAAGAAAAAAAATCATCCTTGAGTTTTATTATTAACTTTGTTATGCAAGCAAAAATATTACCTCTCTTCAACAAGCTGAGTCTTAAGTCTCAACTTTACTTAGAAATTTAATTAGTGGCCCCTGGTTGGCTTAGTAGGTTGAGCATCTGACTTCAGCTCAGGTCACATGACAGATTCGAGCCCCACTTTGGGGTGTCTGCTTACTGCTCAGAGCCTGGAGCCTGCTTCAGATTCTGTGTCTCCCTCTTTCTAACCCTCCCCTGTTTGCGCTCTGTCTCTGTCTTCCTCAATAATAAATAATAAACATTAAAAAAAAGAAATGTAATTAAAATTAAAAATTCAATATAGGAAGAATATGTAGTTTATTGTTGGAAATTCAGAAAAAAAGTCAAATTTTTCACATCATGAGGAAATGAGAACGAAGGCAAGGGTAGATAATATCACAATAACGAAAATGAACACAATACATGGATATGTCAACCAGAACTGGGCTGCAAATTGTTTTATATAATAATCTATAGCACCTATGGAGGATGGTAAAAACAGCAAGGCCAATTCCCATTTAAAAACATATTGGAGTGCACTCATGTTCATAGTAGCATTATTCACAATTGCTAATATGTAGAAGCAAACGAAGTGTCCATCAATGGTTGAATAGATAAGCAAAATGTAGAATATACATACAATATAATACTATTCACATTTAATAAGAAAGGAAATTCTGATCCATGCTACAATACGGATGAAACTTGAGGACATTATGCTAAGTTAAATAAGCCAGTTACAAAGAGACAAATATCATGATTCCATTTTTGAGGTACTTTGGAGTAGTCAAAATCATAGAGATGGAAAATAGAACAGTGGTTGTCAAGGACTAGGAGATGGGGAAGTGGGACTTATTGTTTAATAGGTGTAGACTTTCAGTTTTAAAAGGTGAAAAGTTATGGGAATGGATGGTGGTGATGGTTACACATTGTGAATGTATTTAGTACTACGGACTGCACACTTAAAAGTAGTTCAGATGGCAAACGTTATCACAACTAAAAACACGTGAAAACATAGAAAACAAAACCTGTTAGAACATATCGATTTGGTCAAATATGTGCTAGTGTTCTGCTAGTGCAGAATGCACTACTGCTAGTACTCAATCCCCCCACATATTTCAAACCAAATCTGATATGGCTTGAGACTATTTTTCAAGTATTCTCTACATCAAATGTGGGGCTTGAACCTATGACCCCAAGATCCGGAGTCCCATGCTCTACCAACTGAGCACCTATGTGCCCCAAGATATATATTTTTTAAAAGAATAACAAACACAGACCAGCACATGTATTCTTACTTTATTAAATCTTACTAGTATTATTTGGGAAAATACACAGATGAGTAGGCTATGTTGATGAAATCTTATTTTTATAGGAGAATTAAGAAGACTTCAAGATACTTTCAGGTATTTTCTTCAATGATGCTTCTTATCTTTATTCCGAGACTCCAGGTAATATTCAGCCCCTACAGCTACCACAAATGCAGCAAATCCCCATTTGAATCCTTTTAATAATGCACCAACAAAGGAAACATTGTTTGCAAAGCCACCCATGTATCTCCAAGCTTCATTGCTAGAGGGGAAAAAAAAAAAGGGAAAAACCATAATCACACACAACTTATGTATATTTACTGAGTAAAACAGATTTAATTTTCATCTTTCTAACAGATTTATATGCAACCCTATATAAGATAATCTAAGTGGATCACAATAGGAGTCTTTTTTGTGACATAAGGTAATTAGGTCTATGTGCCCACGTTTCACATATACAACAGAAGAAAAAAGACTTGATGATTCACATTTCACAGCCATTAATAATCAGGATTTTACAGAATTCTCAAATGCAAGACTCACTACAGCCTATTCATTACTGGTCAGCTGTGTGGCTTTGCCCATAACAGTCATTACACCATCATATAAAGGGGAAGTCAGAAACTTGGGTATTAAATTTTGCTCTGCCACTTAGATTCACAGCCTTTTAGGCTGGACAAGTTACTTAACCTGTCAGGGCTTGCTTCTGCTTTTTCTCAATGATGATTACTATCTACCTTATAGTTTTGTTATAAAGGTTAAACGGGGCAATGTATGATGTATTCTGGCAGAGAGAGTATGTAACACTCAACATTATTATTACTATTCCAGAGGCTCACAGCTTTTCCCTGTCTTAGCAGCCTGAGCTTTAGGAGACTAAGTTCTTGCTCTGGCAATCATTCTTCTCAGTATCCTGAACAGAGAAGTAAACAGAAGTCAAATAGCTCTAGTGAAAAAAAGTCCCTCACAGAGAGGGATAAATAAGTGGAAAAAATCATGTTATAAAAAACAAAATACACTTAAACTCTAAAAATTCTGACTTGGTAGAATACATGAGAGTTAATCACATCTAATTCAGATACCAAAACCTGACCAAAGATATTAGAAGAAAACTACAGAGTAATATCCTTTATGAACATAGACGGAAATACTCTTAACAGAATTTTAGAAAATTGAATCTAGCAATATATGAAAGGATAATAACATCATGATGAAGGGTTTATACTTCAGGAATACAAGATTGGCTTGAGATTTTAAAATCAATAAGAGTAATTCATCATATTAACAGAATAAAAAAATGATATCAGCATTTCAATAGATGCAGAAAAAGCATTTACCACTAAAGAGAACACCACAACTTGACGAAGGGCATCTATGACCACCCTATGACTATTATATTTAGTGGTGAAAGACTGAATGCTTTCCCCCAATTAGCAACAAGGCAAGGATGTCTGCTTACACCACTTTTATTCAACATTATACTAGTAGTGTTACCCAGTGTAATAATACAAGAAAGAAATAAAAAGTTTACAAATTGAAAAGGAGAAAGTAATACTGATTTTAGACAAAATGACCATCTATTAATTAAATCCTAAGAAATCTGTAAAAAAAAAACTCTGCTAGAAGAAAAATGTGAATTTAGCAAAGTAACAAGATACAAAGTCAAAATATAAAACTCAATTATGTTTTCATATATAAGCAAGAAAACTGAAAATTTAAATTTAACAATACCATTTACAATAGCACAAAAATATGGAATAATTCAGGATTAATTTAACAAAATCTACATAAGACTTGTATATAAAGCAATGAAACATTGCTGAGAAAATTAAACAGAATCTAAACTGTCCATAGACTTAAAGACTCAGTATTGTTAAGACATCGAGTTTTTTTTTTTAGTTTCTGTTTAAAGTCCAGTTTGTTAATACAGTGTAAAATTAGTTTCAGGTGTACAATATAGTAATTCGAGTTGTTAAGTGAGCTCGGGGTTAATGTGATCTCAATTAAAATTCAGGCAGCCTTTCTGTAGAAACTGAAAGCTCGTTTTAAAAATTAAATGTAGGGGCACCTGGGTGGCTCAGTCGGTTAAGTGTCTGACTTCAGGTCATGATCAAACGGTTCGTGGGTTCGAGCCCCGCATTGGGCTCTGTGCTGACAGCTAGCTCAGAGCCTGGAGCCTACTTCAGATTCTTTGTCTCCCTCTCTCTCTGCCCTTCCCCTGGCTCATGCTCTGCCTCTCTCTGTCTCAAAAATAAATAAGCTATAAAAAATTTTTTAAATGTAAATACAAAGAACTTAGAATAGCTAAAACAATTTAAAAAAAAAAGGAATTTAGGTACTGATCCTCTAGAATAAATTTTATGTGAATTATTTAATTATTCTTACCGGCCCCATGGATCCCTTAGCCCTCGTGCAGCCAGCTTCTCCTGGACAGTTTCTAATGGTGTCCCTTCTATCTTCCATTGTTTATAATCTGGAAGTTTTAATTTACTATGACCATGTTCATGTCCGTGTCCATGGGCCATGTCTAAAGGATAAGATTAACATAAAAGAGAAATATGCAAATGGTAGATATCAAGTTCCCAAGTTTTCTATGTAGATTGTAGATACAAAATATCCAAAAATTTGTTAATGTTTTAAAAAGGAAAGTCAAATAAATACTTGAAAATTCTGAGTTAATGTTTTATAAAAATAGCATCTTATTACGTAACTAGTTTACATTCAGTTAAGAAATACACATGTACAAAATTTAAAAAGCAAAAATCAATAATCCCACCACTTAGAGACAGCCATTTACTATTTTGTTCCTTTCTTCAATATAAGAACAGCAAACATTTATTGTGCTCTGTGTGTCAGGAGCACCATGGTGCTTCAACATGTATTAATTCCATTACTCCTAAAACAACTCTTTGAACTTAAATCACAGTTATTATCACCATTTTACAGATGGAGACAACGAAGCTCCAATCAGGTAACTTTCTGAAGGTAACAAAAATAGTAAATGGTACTATTGGTTTTGAACCTTGCAGTTTGGTTTCACAGCCCTTGCCCCTAACTTCTAAGCAACATTGTTTCCTTCTTTCTAGTCTTTTTATAATGTGTAATTATGCATAACGACAATGTTTTATATACTATATCTTGGTAGGATATTTTGTAGGTGGGGCATCTGGGTGGGTCAGTTGGTTAAGCTTCTGACTCTTGGTTTCTGCTCAAGTCATGATCTCAGTTTGTGAGCTCGAGCCCCACTTTCAGTGCAGAGTCGGCTTGGGATTTCTCTCTCCCTGCTACTCCCCGGCATGCGCTCTCTCTCTCTCTGTCTCTCTCTCAAAAAATAAATAAAAAATTTTAGAAAAGGATATTTTGTAGGTAGTTATATAATGAGAGAAAAACATTTTATTCATAAACTTCAAAACATAATAACTCAGTACAATCTTTTGTAAAACAGTTCTGATGAAAAAAATGAAATTCCCCTTTTTGGGGGATAACATTTTTCTTAACTGGGGCACAAAGTTAGTGTTCCTTAGTTATCAAATTCATTCCAAATATTCATCTGTAAAAACCATCTTAGCTCACAGGCAGTACACACACAGTCAATGGGCTGGATCTGGCCAGCAGGCTTTGGTTTGCTGACTCCGGAATTAAACCAATGGAGACCTTAGGACTCTAAAGCCTCCTTAAACAAAATATGCCTGTAATGGCTATAATAAAGACCAGTTTTACTAGTGTTATTTTTAAAGTTTATTTATTTATAATTTCTACACTCAAGGTGGGGCTTGACACCCCCAGATCAAGAGTCACATGCTCTGCTGACTGAGCCAGCCAGGAGCCCCACACCCACTAGTGTTATTTTTATAGATAATGTAAAAATAAACTTCAGGTCAGTCCCCAGTTAAATTGCTATGAATTTCAAATTAAAGGGGTATGAATTAATACCCCCTTTCTTTAAGGTTAGCAGTAGCAATTCTATAATCACCGCTCTCCAGAAATAAAACCAAACCAAATAATTACTACCATTATGTCTGCATTTATAACTATGAACAGACCCCATAATAAGGCAGGGCTCTTACACTGCACTTTAGAAGACAGAAGTAATTATTACATAGTGTATACTCAAGACACATTATGCAAAATGCTCAGACCATTAAATAACAGTTCTCAGGATATGGGGGGAGGGTATGAATTATACATAGTAATTCTGACAAATTAACCAACCCTTTATATTTAGACATATTAAGATAATCACAAAACACTATTCTGATGGTTTTTACATTAAAAAAAAGAGTGAAAACCAAAGCTACCAAACACAAGGTAAAACAACATTCACAATTTCAAGTGAAATATTTGATTAATTAAAAAAAAATAAAAAAAAAGAAATATTTGATTAATTATTTCATTATTATTATTTAATGGATTCAATAATGTAAAGGGAAAAAATTACAGTTTCAGATTTCAGCCTAACTTTTGAGATTCAATACATTACTATGAAAGAAATTATTTTCGAAGTGTTTACTTAGAATGATCTCTTGGCTTCTTCAAACCATGTTTATAAAAATGTTTTGCTTAATGTTTCATTCCAAAACTCTAGAGATTACAAGAAAAACCCTTATTTTGGCAAATATCAATTCTAGAAGAGTAACTCTAATTGAATATTAATATACTTGGAAGAGAATACAAAGTGTCAACCTTTTTTGATAAAATAGCTTGACTTGGGAAAATAAAAAATGGAAGCAATATCATGTATGAAAGCTATATCAAAGTTACAATGTTACTATGTTCAAAATACTAAGTAATTTAGGACATAAATCTTTGAAGGATAACATGAAAGTATAGACTTATTTCTCCTAATTTCCCTCAATAAGTTCAATGTGTTTTCTCTTTTACCTCATTAAACTATTTCAGTAAAAGTCCCTTACTAAATCGAATATTTCAATGACCTTTCAAAAAGTTGAACACAATTTCTAGGGAATCCTTTGTTCTTTTAAAAATTATTTCCACTTCCATATAGCCATAAATCAATGATATCCTGATCACTCTGAAGGAAGTTTGGAATTCTACTTAAGTGCAGACTTACTTTAGTGCTGTATAGATATGACATCAAATCCTGGATGCACCATTAATAGCTATAAACTCCTGGGCATATATTATTTAATCTCTCTGAATTTGTTTCCTTGTGTAACATGAGCATAAAACCTACCTCGCAAGATTGTGAGATTTGGGGAAAACACATTGTGATATGCTTTCCACTTTTGTACCCAGGTGGTAGGAATGTGACTTAGCACAACCATTGAGAAAAACTGGCCTGACCTAGAAATGTTGAACATCTGGATACCTTAAAGTCTAGACCTGCACTGTTCAATATGATAGACACTAGGACTTGAAGTGTGGCTAGAATTTTCATGTAATTTTAATTAATTTAAATTTCAAATCGGATTCTCAAGTCAGTCACTAGAAATTGTTTTTTAATGTTTATTTATTTTTGAGAGAGACAGACAGACAGTACGAGTGGGGCAGAGAGAAAGGGAGATATGGAATCTGAAGCAGGCTCCAAGCTCTGAGCTGTCAGCACAGAGCCCAACACGGGGCTCGAACCCACAAACCATGAGATCATGACCTAAGCTGAAGTCAGATGCTTACTTAACTGACTGAGCTACCCAGGCACTCTAGAAAATTTGTTTTTAAGGTTTATTTATTTTTGAGAGAAAGTGTGCAAGCAGGGAAGGGGCAGAGGGGTGGGCAGAGAATCTGAAGCAGGTTCTGCATTGATAGCAGTGAGCCTGATACAGGGCTCAAACGCCTGCACGGTGAGATCGTGATCTGAGTCAAAGCTGCTCAACCAACTAAGCAACCCAGGTGCCCCAGTCATTGAAAAAATTTAAAGTATGTTTGGGAACAATTTAGGTGAACAGATCTACTTTTTCAAGGATCAGGTGTTTATGTTTATGAAAATTTACCATACAAACATATTCTGCAAGTGTAAAATACATTGATTTTGAGACGGTATGAAGAAAATCTAAAATATTTCATTAATAACTTTTAATGCTGATTACATCTTGAAATAATATTTGAATATACTGGGTTGGATGCAATATATAATTAATTTTGTTTTTTACCTTTTTAATACGGCTACTAGAAAACTGTAAATTATATAAGAGCCCTTGCATTATATTTGGATAGCATTGTAATAAAAAAAACTGTTATATTTTTTATATGTAACAATAGATATATACGTATATTTTTAACAATAGATGTATAAGAATCTCTTTAGCCACATTGTTAATATGGATAGCCCCAAACTATAAATGACCCTAATACCCCACATTAATGGATTAATTATGGAATAGACACACTATACAGAATATCTAGTGAAAAACTACATGCAAAAATATGAAAAAATCTCCCAAATAAAGAGGTGAGTAAAAACAAAAGATGCATACACTTTGATCCCATTTATATAAATTGAAAAACCAAACAATTCATTTTTCTAGAAATGCATCATAGATAGAAAAATTAAAGTAAAAAAAGTGAACGTTTATGACAAGTCAGGACAGTGGTTAAATCTTGGTGGAAGAGAGAGAATCATAGCTCAGACAGGGAGCTTCTAAAACAGTGTTTTTCAATCTTTTTTTTTAAAAAATCTTGTACCCCAAAAGAGCTTCTTTGGGTATTTTTTTCCTTATGATGTTTTCACTCCCCCTCTTCCAATGAAATTTAAAACCACAGATATACTGTATATTTGCTTAAGTACCATGGCTCTTTGGAGGGGCACAAACCATTGTAGTCTTTGCAATATTTTTTGTCTTTAAGATTTTTTTTCACCTCTCCTCCAAGGACAATTTTTACCACCTTGAAGGACAAACACCTCTGCTGAGAATCCAACTTCTAAGTTATTGGCAATGCTTTATTTTCTAACCTGAGGGATGGTTACACAAGGTTTGCTTAATTATAATTTTTAAATGTATTTATGTTTTATACATCTTCCCGTTATGTAAACTTCAAACTAAAAACTAAAATTAGATAAAAATAACAAATTATGCCAAGGACTCAACAATGGATACTTATTTCAGTTTCAGAACTGTTCAGACAAAAAACAGCAAGGTCATTAGTTCTACAAAGAAAGAACATGTAATAATGAAATTTTTTAAAAAAGCTATCTTCTTGTGTTTGAAGTTAACATGTAATTTGGTGATCAACTCCCACTAACTGGGATTAGCAAATTTTCCCTAACTACGAAAAAGAGGCTAATGCCACTTATAGTACATGCAGTTTTATGGTTTACCAACGACTTTCAAGTACATATTCCAAATACCCCTCATTTTTAAGCTTGCAAATAAGAACATTAGAAAATAAAAGACAAGTTAACTTGCAGTGTTCCCTCCAGTCCCTGCACCTACTTATGTGTCATTTAAAAATAGTAATCACTCTGCAAAACTGAATGTGATTTTTGTACCTTGCTTTTTTTTAAACATTCACACCAGAAAAGCCTTACCTAAAACCATACATGCCTGTTGTGAGGCAGGTATTGCAATTATTCTTATTTTACAATTTCTCGATTTGGGGCTGTTCTGATTTTATTCCATTCAAAGGTAAACCAGAAAACACGCGGCGGGGGTGTGCGGGTGGGAAAAGAGGAAAAACGTATAAGCACAGTAATTCTCATCATATCCTTCTACAAACTAACCCCTTACTACCCCAGGACTTCATTGTTCTCTCTCGCTAGTTTCTTCGATCCCCTTCCCTCGAGATATATACTCTCAGGATCTCTCCCCACTTAAGTCTCTCCCTTTTCTATAATCCCCAGAATAGAGTCTCACTCTTATTCCTGATCAAGAAGTATCCCACCAACTCTGATTTACCTGACAGCAATCTGACCTCTCACGACACTCAATAAACCCTCCAGCCGGAGCCAAGCGGAAACGGAAGTTGCTCCCGGACTGACTGACCGCAGGAAAGCAGAGAGGTCATTTAACGTTCCGTACTGGGTCACGGATTCCCGGAATCAGTGAAGGGGACATGGAGAATGCTGGAAGTCGACATTTTTTTCCCGCACACCTGTGCATCAGTGGTCTGACTGAGGTAAGAGTAACTGTAGAGGACAGAATGGCAGGGAAAAGGCGATGTTTTTCCTGCTTGGAGACCGGAATCCTTAGACACTGCACAGAGAGGAGGACCGCAGGCATACTCCAGCCAATAAGTGAGGCAGTTGTTAGACCGCGCAGTCACCCAATGGGAAGGCTGGTTGTTGCGCTGCAGTTGGCAGGCTGCTGCGGGAGGCGGTGGCGGTAAGAAGCCGGAGGCAGAGGGGTGACAGGTAGGCGGCGGCGCTGTCTTTGGGAGACGCAGGGTGCCAGGTCAGGAGGGTTTTTCTTCTCTCAGTTGCACGAACTGGAGAGGGGGCCTGACGAGGGTGGTCTGGGAAGGCGGCAGCTGGAGGGTTGGTGGTTCCGGAACCTCGCGTAGACCAGGTAGCAGCTTGGGAGGGTCGTGAGGAGAAGGCAGCTGGGGCGAGTGGAGGCTGAACCTTGCCGGGCGACGTGGGGGCCTAGGGCGTGGGGGGCTGCGGTGGCGCTGGCAGAGAAAGGAGAGAGGCAGGAGCAAGACGGTATCGTGAGGGCTGGAGGACTTCTTTGCATGAAGCTCCAAAAGAGAAAAGGACGCGGCATTGCAGGCACCTGAGAGAAATCCTAGGAATTGCTTCTTCTGGCCATTTCCCGGGGTGGGAAGGGTGTGTGGAGAAGAAACATTTACTGGCGGTCAGATCCTTCAAACTCTTTATAGCTATACATTATGTAATCGTTGGCTATTATTTGCCCAAATAACTAGGTTGTCGCTCTTGGAAGAGGTCTTGGAACCTATTGATGTGTCAGAATAGTTTTTTCGTTGATTTGAGTGCTTTCAACCTCGGCAGACTCTGTGGGTGAAGAAGCATGAAGGATAGAGTCATCAGGAAGAGCTTATCCCAAATACAGATTTGGGGTTGAGAGATAATGTTAGTTTAAGACGATCGGCCAGGTTCACGTTTTTATAATTCATGAATTTATTTGTTTTGAGGGTCAAGGTTGATTACAAATATATATTTTTTAAATCTTCAGAAAAGTGGAGAACCTCAAAAATCTATAGTAGGAGGTAAGTGCCAGTTGGAAAATGACTAGAAAATTAGTTGCTAGATTCCCCCGCCCCCAAATTGCGGATGTTAGGCACTATGAAAATAAGGTGGTGGTTTGAAGGGGGATAGGGTGGGAAGTCATCTTTTAAGTAATTTGTTTTTTAAGTCTGGTAAACTAGTTATGAATTATTTCTTAGGTTAAAAAAAGCATGCTCTTTGAACCTTTCCCACTGAAGTAAAATGTATTTATAGACATAATTAGCTGTAAATTATATTTTTTGAGTTTTTATAGTTGCACAGTGGGATGTAGAATAAAATGGGAATTCCATTCAGTATGTGTTACCTAAGGTCAAACTACATTTTGCTATAAAATTTGATTTTATAGCACACTAGAGAACTGTTTTAAAAGAAGCATTATAAATTGTTAAGATGTAATCTCATTGAAATGTAGTCTTTCGCTGAGAAGATAAAGACTAATGTAGTATGAGCAAGTGTATAATTTTTCCTTTTTTTATTAATGATAATTTATATTAGTATATCCCAGGACCTAAATTAAAAGATTCATTTTTTTTCCTCTGAGTATCATTTGGAAAAGAGAAGTAGATCATTGGAGTTTGTTCTGAAATGTTTAGAGTACTGAGATATTTATCAATACTTGAGATAAAAATTTTGATACTTGGTGTTTCACTCATTGCCTTTTTACCTTTTTGCAAGAGTAATTCTATCTTAGTCATAAAGAATACTTCTTCTGTTTTATATGCAATTATGTAGTGTGAGTACCTGTGAACAAATCTCTGCTTTTGTGCAGGATGGTGTGAGCGTGTGCCTGTATGTTTCTGTGTGAATGTATGTGTTTCTTCTTCTTATGTAATCAGGCTACTAGAGCTGTCTTAGAGAACTAATGGCTGATTTTGAATGGCCAGTAGGTGTCATTGTAGAATGTAAAAAAGTTGAACATTGGATAGGAAATTACCAGATGATTTAAGAAACACTGGTCAGAATTAGAATATAATAATAATTGGCTTATTATTTCCACATCATTAGAAGCCCAGTTTTCTGACACATTTCAGTATTGGAGTTGTTTATAAGGAATTTGAAACACTGGCTGTAAAGAAATAAAATTTTTGCTTTAAAATAGACCTTCAAAGCTTTTAAAATCCAACTCTTAAGCCACTTTGACATGCAATATGGATTTGGGTTTGTTTGATTGCTTTTAATATTTAAAAGCTCTGGTATTTAATAGTATTTTGTTAAATTCTATAATGATTAAGATTTTCAGCTTGACTGAGCTTTATAATAGAAAAACCATTGCTACATAATGAGAAACTAAAATGATAAAATATGGGCAGAAAGTCTCCAAACAAGTTACTAGCTGCACACAAAGAAGTACTTTGTTGTTTTTCTTTTAATACAAGAACAGAAGAATTTGTCTTTCATTATTGGTGGCTTCTTAGTTTTCCTCATGTTTAAAATAGCTTCTTTTTAGGCAGAGAAGGACAAATATCATATGTTTGCACGTATAGGAGGATTAGGAGGAACTTAACTCAGGACCATGGGGGAGAAGAAGGGGGGAAATGGTGGGGGAAAGGGAGAGAGGCAAACCATGAGAGACTCTTGAATGCTGAGACACAAACTGAGGAGTGATGGATGTGGAGGGGATGGGGGAGATGGGCATGGAGGAGGGCACTTGTAGGGATGAGCACTGGGTGTTATATGGAAACCAATTTGACAATAAACTATTTGTAAAAAAAAAAAAAAAAAGAAGAAGAAGTTTTTAGACTGTAGTTTAAAGTAGTACTGATGGTGTTTTTTAGGAGAGTACAAAAACATTAAATTGACAAAATGCAAAAAAAAATAGCTTCCTTTTATATATTTTTTTCTGGCTGGTAGACTATGTGCTTTTCTCAGGATGGTGAGCAGAATATTTGTCATTGTCTGAAATGTAAGATAATGAATTCTGGAGGGAGCTGGCACAGAAAACTCTGAAGGTGGCTTACAACTGGTGCAACTACAGCCCATACCTGCTGAGCCTTCTACTGAGCTCTTGCCTTTTTGTAGCTCTGGTCCTTTGCTTGCTGTTGATACAGTGTTAAAAAATAGAGTTGGACCTAATTCAGAAATTCTCCATGAAGAAGGCGAGTTACATATGTATCAGAATAATCTAGAAGTTAAAAAAAAAAAAAAAGCATATACACATATCCATTATATCATCTCCACTTCCTGTCAGATAGAGGGAATATGAAGGGAGGTAGATATTTTGAAGACAGAAAGACCCTCCTAGATAATATGGTTCAGCACTGGTTTCCACTTTAGGATTATTGATCTAATTTGCAGCTCTCATACTTGTGGTATGAAGTAGCAACAGTAGTTTTTACTTGAAAAAAAAGGGCTGCCAAATCTACCAATATTTTTATAGCTCAATAAAATTTCACCGTTTAATGTCACGGCTGGGGTAGATTTTCTAGCCAGGAGCTAAAGTTGCCAGAAATAAAAATTGTGCTGAATGTTTTGGTTTGGACTAGTTTTCACTTGGCAGTTAGCTGCTTTCCATAAACCAAGCTAATTTCTTCCACGATTCAGATCTGTGTTGATTTGCACAGATATTTAGTCATGTCTTAATCTCTTACTGTCTTTGAAAGCTATCTAGTTTTAGAACTAAACTAGAATTGGGAAATAAAACTTGGAAATTTTCTTGATTAAAGTTCTTTTTATGATATTTCTATGATACAATATAGACATACATTTATCTTTTATGTAAACATTCACTCATATATATGTTAATATATGTTTAATCTTAGAACTGTGAATGTGTAGACTTTGATGTGGGCCCTGTTTAGAAATTCATGGTTCATTTTTATGAATTCTAGACTTTCCTATTTGGGTATTTGTCTGTCATGGAGACAAATATGAGAAAAGTAGATGAATAGACTAATTTTGGAGAAAGATGTGAAAACTCAATTTATTGAGGCATGACTTTCATTATAGAATTATAGTTCTTTCTAGGTTTGAAATACAACTGCTAATAAAAGGTCATAAAATATAGTAAGTGACACTAATTTGTTGAACAGCCAAGCATGGGTTACAATATAGTTACTTTGTTCTGTTGTAAAATACTGAACTGAAAACGTTAGAATCAAATTTATCTATTTCCTTTGTTATTTATTATGGACTCTAATCTTTTTTAAAAATTGGGGTATAATTGACATATTCCTTGACTCTTGATAGTGCTTGATTCTTAATTGATATAGACTTTTGTTAGTTACTAAGATTTGTTAGTTACCTCATTAAATTCTTTTCTCCATATAATTTTTGAAAAAATGTGTAGAAGGAGTTGGATGCTGCATGAGGAATGAAACTAATGGTTTTTACATATTCTTTTGTATTGAGAATTAAAAGCAATTTTTTTATTATACTTTATTTTTTAGAGCAGTTTTAGGTTCATTAGTAAAATTGGGTAAGAGGTACAAAGCTATTCCATATACCTACCCCACACTCATATATAACCTCCCCTATTATCAATATCCTCCTACAGAGTGGTACATTTGTTACAGTTTTTGAACCTACATTGATACATCATTATCAACCAAAATCTATACTTTACATTAGGGTTCAGTCTTGGTGTTGTACATTGGACAAATGCAAAATGACATGTATCTACCATTAGGGTATTAAACAGAGTAGTAGTAAGGCTTTCAAATCTGAAAGGATTCCTTTTGTAGTTACTTCTTTCTAAATGGAAAAGGGAATGGAGAGTATACTGTGGTTCTTTTTACTTGATAATTGTAAAATCTAAAATTAATATGAATTTGCAGTATACCACTGTACCTAATGGTTTATCGTCTGTGGAAAAAACACTAGAAGGAATGAATGTTTCTTTTCAGAGTTCTGTGGTCAGATCTCTTGCCATTCTGTACTTTGTTCCTTTGATTTTATTTGCTCAGTTAGCATCTAAATGTGATGATTATTAAAT